TTGTATTTTATCCTCTCAGCTTTCTAACGCATATTAGAATGCGTCAATCCAATTCTTGTAGCTCAAGTTATGACCTGCACAACGAGAAGGTGTAAATAATTGTTTATTCAGAAAATAAACAGAACTCAAATTTACTTTCAAAAACCTATAAAAAGAAATTAAAATAATGTGAGAAGTCATATAAAAGTCTTAGCACAAATAAAAAGATAATATATAAAATTACACTATTCATATTCCACCATACTTAAACTTTTGCACTCCGAGCAAAATTCTAAAATCAAAAATCAAAATAGAAAAATAAGAACAAAATAGAAAATGAAATTTCAAAGCTTTTCAGGATGACAAAGAGCAAGCAAAATTCTAATTCTAAACTTCTAGAATATGACATTAGTGAGTACTTTTTGTGATACTCAAAGTAGATAAGAAGACAGTTTACTAAAGAGCACATCATAAGCAGCAAGATCCTCACATGATAAAATTTACTCAACTCTTAAGTGTTTAAGTTGTCTGTTTACACTCAAAGTACGTCATGAAAGAAAGCACTATCATAAGTTTGAAAATATTCTAACATCTGCACTTGAAATACATGCACACAAAAATCAAAAGGACTTTATTTGATTTGTTACTTGGAAAAGGTAAGGATGAGATAAATCCTAAGGGGTACTAGGTTAAAATTCAAATGGTCAAAAGAAAATCGAAAGAAATTGCGGAAGTTGAACTAAATAAGATTTCATTCACTTTGAAACAACAACATTGAAGCTATTTCTTTTTCTTTTTTTCTCTTTTTATTCTTCTTCTTTTTTTGTCATAAGCAATGTGTTTTGTCATCTTTTTTTTTTCATTATCTTATTTTTTCTTGCCAATTGTTGAATTAAATGTCAAAAATATAATTATTCAACCCTCACACAAATAAAAAAAAAAAGACTCTTTCAACCCTTTGAATAGGGTGATAACATTGTTTTCACTTTTAGACTTGTAACGAGTTTCAATCAAAGAATGGGATAAATAGGCTCAACGCGGTTTTAAACAAAGGATGATTTTTTGAAGTTGGCTTTTTGGCTAATTGGCTACAAATAAAATAGAAACAACTTACCTTTATCATATCAGTGTGTACAAGTAAATAAATAGTTTAAAAAAGAGTCTGATCAAGTTCTAAACACTAACAGACATGAGTGAAATCACACTAGAAAGAAAGAGATGGATTTTTTTTTAATGTTATCAATTATTAGGCTCAAAATCTCACAAAGGTTAATGATCTACCATAAATGATGTACAATTCATAATTTAGTCATACTTATTATACTAAGAAAACAAAGAAATCACTCACATCATACCACAAATCTTGAGTCAAGAGAATAAAAAAATTACTCACACATGCAATCCCAAATTTCAACCAAAAAGCATGCATTTTATTTTTATTTTTTATAAAAAAACAAAACAACAAAAGTAAATGAAGAAGCAAAGCAAGAAAAATAAATGACACTAATACCACAAATTTCAGCCAAGGTCCATCAAATTACCTTATTATATTTCTTTAATACCTGCAATACTTTTTGTTCATGTTTAGATTCAAATTTAGATAACAATTTTACAGGCAAATTTTCTTCAAATTCTAAAAATGCAGATGTTAAATTTGAAGGAAGTGACTTAAGTTATAAAGCTCATGGTTGTTCAATGGATGACAAAATTTTGGCAACAGAAACTACATTTATAAATGCAACATCAACTTTGTCAAGAGAAATATCACAAGAAATATCAACCTGTAGGACAACTTCAATTTCAGCACAAACAGAACATAAGTGAGAATCAGTACAAACATCACAAGTATAAGTGTCATTAAAATCAGACAAAGAAGGAAAATTAGCAAAAAGTATATCACGTGCAACAAGTTCTTTTAAGGTTCTTTGTTCAACCATGTAATGATAATTAAACTCAAAATCATATCAAACAAATTATGAGAGAACATAAAATCAGAATCATTACCACTAATGGGTGCACTAGTAGTCATGCATCATAAGTCAACAATGCAACACATATGAAAATACCAACAATGTCCTTAATGAGAAAAACAATTGAAACAATGAAAAACGATTAAAATAAAATATATACAAAATATGGAAATATCACTAAAAATAAATAAAATCAAAATAAAACTATACAATTTTTTTCCAGATTTTTTCGAAAATATGAAAGTAGAAATTGAATAAAATAAAATAGAAAATAAATTCAGAGTGTCACCTAATAGGCTGGAATACTTACCACTATAATGCATCCCTGAAAATATATAAAAAATTATATTAATACTTTAAACTAGGATTATAAAATTGGCTAAATCAATAGAGAGTCCTCGACAACGACGCCGATTTGATCCGTTATCGCACACAGGTCAAAAACGAGTTTAAAAAAACGTAGTATAACTGAAGCAACACTCGAGTCGTATCGCAAGCACTCTCGATATAATTTAACCAACCAAATGAAAGAGAGGGGGGGGGGGGGGGGGGGTTAAGATTCAAAACTTAAATCCAAGATGATTGAGGTAAAAGCAAAATTGATAAATAAGTTAATATATTATATTAATTTCAGACTTATCATTGATTCTTATAATTCAAATTCCTTAAGAGGATTCAATCTTATTCGATTAAAATACCCACTGGCAAACGCAATTGATATTATACAATATATATTCCTAATTTCCAAATTAAGCAGTCAGATTTAAGCCGTTGCGAATTAAGCAAACACAGCTTAATCAAACACGATAAAAAAAGCTATGCTAACACGATTATAGCCAATGATCATACAAATAATCGAATTTAATTAGATCTATTCTATAAGAAACATTTATATTAAGCAAACTAAAGTAATTGAATTAAGCAAACAAGTTTGTAGGAAAAATTGAAAAGAAATCGAAATTAAACTGAAATTTATAAAAAAAAACTCAAAGTGGAATATGAATACAATAGATAAGCTCTTTAGGAATTAGCTATCCATATAATTCATAATTCTTATTTCTTATTTCGTGAATGCTGAATAATGAATCCTAAAACTATTAATTTGTTTAAATAGAGCAATGGAATTCGGGCCTAATATCAATCGACCCGAAAAAATTAAATGGCCCAAAACTAAGTATTTTCTTAAGTCTGAATTAAAAACGAATTATGCGACTCTTCTGTACTTCTAATTATCATATGAGTTCAACACAAAACATGTAGTTTATCCTCTCATCTTTCAAACACATGTTAGAAAGCGTCAATGCGATTCTTATAGCTTAAGTTATGACCTGGACGACGAGAAGGTGTAAATAATTATTTATTCAGAAAATAAGCATTTATTCAAAAAAATAAGCAGAACTAAACTTAACTCTTAAAAACGTATTAAAAGAAATTAAAATAATGTGAGAAGTCATATAAATGTCTTAGCACAAAGAAAAAGATAGTATATTAAAATACACTAATCAACAATCATGTGAGAAACCCGTTTACGTCGTATCGTATACACAAAAATGCGTTTGTTCTATATGGGACACGTAGAGGTGCGAGAAACGCGTTTAAGCCATATCATATACGCAAAAGTGAATTTATTTTATATGTGACATGCATAAGTGCGTGACATATTTATCTTCTCGCCTTCACGGTTCTAAAGAGAGGAAAACATAAAAGACTATAATAGGAGAAAAGTAGTCGATACATACTTTCAATCACAAATGAATTAAATTTATTGCACTGAGATAATATAATTACTAGATAAGTAAACCTTCAGCTATAACACCACTTTAGCTTGACTATAGGGTTATGGCAGAATCTCTTGGGATCAATTGTATGGTCGGACGGAGGTGAATTTCCTTAGGACGTCCGTCTTCCAATCTTTATGGAAGAAGTTATACTTGTTTTCTTCATCTAGTAATCTTTCTAAGGATTAGCGATTTTGGCCGAAGGACCAGAGACAATTGGAGACCAGGAGTGCCTTTAGAGGGGAATTTGCTTCCTTGCCACCATAGTCTGAAGGTCGCATCCGAGCTATCTCGTGCAGACTCTGGCCTCGACAGAAACTATTGCACTTGTCGGGCGGTCCGATCTTGTAGTTTGTTTAACGCTCTTGTTTTTCGACCGAATCTATTTCTTGATGCACCACCCCAAGGTTATATGAAAGAGGCATCTTAATTGAAGGCCAAAACTAGAATCAACTGTACCCCAATAATAATTGACCTAAGCGATAATAAAAAGATGTAGCAGGGCCGACATGCTCCATTAGATTTGGCCAAAGGCCAGCTGGAGAGCCTTTGGTACCTATAGATGAGGGGGTTACGAACAGGTAATTAGGAGATTGGATCTTAAATCATGGAAATCATAGAAATCTAAAGTCGATTCTCACAGAAGGCATAACTATTGCGTTCAAGAACTAAAAATGAATGCAGTTGGTGAATTGAGTGTCTTGAACCGATAATACAAATCTCCGTTACGAAGATGTGGGGGTGAACCTGCATGATTAGCATTTCAAAATCCAAGTTAGTTCAAGATTTAAGGTCAGTATAGGGAAAATAGAGATCAGAAAGTGTATCTTGTTTTTTGTGAGTACTGACTTTATACCTTAAACCGAATGAAATGAATTAAATCTTGACTATTTGAACATTTAACCGACCTAAAACACCAATAAAAAAGCACATACCTAATATTTAGTATGACTACTTGATTTTCTATTCAAGAGTAAATCTTTTTTAAAGAATTTAAAAAAATGAGAGTGATATTTTTAGTATTATTAGAGAATGTGGGAGTGTCACAAACAACTTTGGAGACGGCGACATGTAGTATTTTAGCCCAGCCCAGTCCAAGAAACCACATCCAGCCCAGAAAAAAACCCAGAAACACAAAACAACAACGAGAATTTCCAACTAGGGTTTTGCACTCATTCATCTCTATCATCACCGTCCCCCAAACCAGTTTACACCACTGAGTACTCCACAGATTCCTCACCACCACCACCACCACCACCACCACCTTGCACTAATGGTAGGAGTAGCATTCGATGTCGGAGCCGTTCCTTTCAACCCAGACGGATGGGGCCCAATGGATTCCACCACCGCCGCTAACAACAACAACGACCTCCCTCTCAACGTCCCCTTCGCCCCTTTCTCCCGCTCCGACAAACTAGGTCGAATCGCCGATTGGACTCGCAACTTCAACAACCAGACCCGATCCAAAAACCCTGCTGATTCCGCCTTCGATTTCACCCTCGACGATTCCTTCCCAGGCAACGCCGATGACGACGCCACATTCCGTCTCGTTGATGGCAAACCACCACCGCGTCCCAAATTCGGCCCCAAATGGAGATACCAGCAACAACGACAACTTCCTCAACGTCGCGATGAGGAAGTCGAAGCAAAGAAACGTGAGGCGGAGAAGGAGAGAGCTCGTCGCGATCGGCTTTATCATCAGAATCGTTCAAACCCTAATAATCCTCGCCGTGAAGCTGCGGTTTGCAAATCGTCGGTTGATATTCAGCCGGAGTGGAATATGCACGATCAGATCCCGTTTTCGACTTTCACCAAGCTATCCTACAATGTTCCTGAGCCTGAAGATCTTCTCCTATGTGGTGCTCTTGAGAATTATGACCGTAGCTTCGACCGAATCAACCCCAAAAATGAGCGTCGTCTTGAGAGATTCAAGAATCGGAACTTCTTTAAGGTTACAACCACTGATGACCCTGTTATCAGGAGGCTAGCTAATGAGGATAAAGCAACAGTTTTTGCAACTGATACTATTCTGTCGACTCTCATGTGTGCTCCCAGGTCTGTTTACTCTTGGGATATCGTTGTTCAGCGTGTTGGCAATAAGTTGTTCTTTGATAAGCGGGATGGGTCGCAGTTGGATTTGCTTTCTGTTCATGAGACCTCACAGGAGCCTTTGCCTGAAGCTAAAGATGATATTAACTCTGCTCATTCTTTGAGTGTTGAAGCTGCTTATATCAATCAGAATTTCTCTCAGCAAGTATTGATTAGGGATGGGAACAAGGTTACTTTTGATGAGCCTAACCCTTTTGCTAACGAGGGTGAAGAGGTTGCTTCTGTTGCTTATAGGTATAGAAGGTGGAAGCTTGATAATGATATGTATCTTGTTGCTAGGTGTGAGGTGCATAGTGTTGTTGAATTGAATAAGCAAAGGTCATTCCTTACTGTGAATGCTTTGAATGAGTTTGATCCAAAGTATTCCGGTGTTGACTGGAGGCAGAAGTTGGAGACTCAAAGAGGTGCTGTTTTGGCTACTGAGCTCAAGAACAATGCTAACAAGTTGGCTAAGTGGACTGCACAAGCTCTTTTGGGTAGTGCTGATATGATGAAGTTGGGTTATGTGTCTCGGATTCATCCCCGGGACCATTTTAATCATGTTATCTTGGGTGTGGTTGGATATAAACCCAAGGACTTTGCTGCACAAATTAATTTGAACACTACCAATATGTGGGGTATTGTGAAATCTATTGTGGACTTGTGTATGAAGTTGAATGAGGGGAAATATGTTATTGTGAAGGATCCATCTAAGCCTCAGATTAGGATTTATGAAGTTCCAGTTGATGCATTTGAGAATGACTATGTGGAAGAGCCACTTCCTGAAGATGAACAAGTTCAGCCTACGGCAGAGGGTGCTGATGGTGGAGAGGAAGCTGTTGCTACTACAAATGACGTGGAAGATAAGGCAATTGATGCTCAAGCTTAAAAGGTAAGTGTTACAAGTCTGAGTCATGCTCTATTTGGTTTAATAATGTCATTGGATTTTGTAATGGCATTGTTTGTGTTATGGAATGCTTAATGTTTTCTGATTCTTCCGTACTGATTAAGTACATTTTATTTTTCTTCTTTTTATCATGGATTGATATGTTTTGTGGTCATAATCTTACAATTGGGGTCCTTTTAATTTTGGATTTTAGAGGGATCATAGAAGTTCTAAGTTGAGTCTGTGATCATGTCGCATACGTTACGTTATAATCCTTAGGGCTGTTTGTTGCTGGAAAATGAAGACAGATGTTGATGATGTTTTGCAGTTACAGCTGCGGAGACTCCAAAACCTTCATGTTTTGCAGCAGTTGTTAGTGTTGGAACCCAATTTTCAACCTTGGTGTTTTGTTAGGATTTAATTACACTTGTTACAGTCTGGAACTGTTTCATCAAAATTCTAGTTCATATCCAAAACTTGAGTGATTTATGTTAGCATCTTTTAAATAATAAAAATTGCTCATATCCATTGTATTCTTCCACAGTTAGATAAGTCATTTCTAAATTTTCATATAATCCTCATCAGTAGTAGCCCATTTTTTAATGCATGAGAGCTGCTTACAAATATTTGAACACATGCACACAACTTGCAAGAAGGCCATAAAATACCAATTATCAACCAACACATGATTGGAATGTGAACAAAATACACACTTGGGGTGCAACAATTATGGATTTGTCATATGTGCAAATTAGGTCTTAGAAGTCCCAGTTTCCTAAATGAAATTCTTTAGCTAGGGATCCTTTGGGATTTTGGGACTAGGAGCTCTTACACATAGGCCTCAGCACTATGACACATTTGTTTGAATATCGGACGTTATTATGGAGGACCAGGCAACCTAATTTATCCGTGAAAATGTTAATAACAACATTAAGCTTGGGATGGTGCATGTGTGCATGCATATCTGTTAATTTGCTACTCATTTTTCCTAGATTTAATTTAATTTCAATTTCAGATATCTCACATACAATGTTTTTAGTTGTTTTCTTGACTTTTTATATCACGGCCAATGGCATAAGTGGGCAATTTATGATTTCACCAGTTAGTTCTTGATTCTATTTTTCTTTATAGTTTAAGGGACATGCAAAAGACTACTTTATTAGCAAGTCATGAATGACATCAGAAAATTTTAGCTCACCGTTGAAAATACTGAATCTTAAATGTGCATGAGTAAGGAATTCTCTAAATAAACTTGTTTGACTATCAACAGCCAAATGATAAGCTATTGTCTTCATTTCCCTAACAAAGAAGAGAGAAAATGTCGCTTGTTCTAGAGAATCGGCCAAGTATAGGGTGCATCTTAAACTTGAGTGTTCAAGAGGACATGCCATATAGCAAATTTTTTTAGGTGTAAAATAGCATATGAAATATGAATTAGAGTGTTTTGTAGACACTAGCATAGCAACATTGTTGGAGCTACCCACCAAATTGGACTTGGTAGTCTAAAATATCTGGTTTTACTTTCTAGTGGCTTTGCTCGGCGATACCTTGTTTTTCTTGATGTGTAATTGTGACTTATTTTGCTAATATCACATACCAATATATAACAACTTTTTGGGTGAATGCAGGTTGTGCTTATTGAGCAATTAACAACCTTTCGCTTGGGAACATAACTATGCTCAGAATCATATTCACTTCTTCAGTGCTATTTGTTGGTCATGATTTTGCCATTTAACCGTGTGATATTCCCTCTAGAATATATATTTTTTTAAAGCATACTGAATTTTTTCATGCTACAGATGTTTATTATCTATATAGACCTTGGCATATTTAGGCCGGAACCATTCAAAGATTGTGTTATGCTTTTGAGTTTATATTTTTGCTGTGTTAGGTATACTATTCCCTGCTTTTTCCTTCCTTCTAACTTACTGGATTTATAACACTATCAACATCGATTGAATTGATCACTGATAGATGATCCTCCTCTTCTTTATAGTTCAAGTTATATGCAAAATTACTCTTTTAAAAAAAACTTCTGTTGTCATTGTCTGGATCAAGTGAAAGCATGAATAAAATAACTATTGACAACTCGAAATATTATATTTTATGTGCTTAACGTTAAATGCTACACAATTCGCTTCCAACTCCAAATTCTCGTGTGTTCACAGTTTGCAATGGGCAAGTTGTCAAGTACAAATTCAATAAGCAATTTTGATGTTGCACTCTCTTTACGTAATGGATTTGGATATCCTTTGCTTTTAGTTCTACTTATGATAACTTATTTTATAAATGGAGACCATCTTTTTCTAATGGTATTGCCACACCATCGAATATGTGCACCTGTATACCTATTTTCTTTCAATTTACAACCATCAGTGCTACCAAATAATCTGAAGAAAGTTACAATCACTTCTTATATACGTGTGACTTTGAGTCGCACTAAGGTACAATTTAAGAGTAGCACACACTTGTAATGTTTCACATCATTCACTTATTTACTTGAACTTCAGGTTGCTAACCATTTGTACGAATACCCTTTTTGTTAGTTAGTGGAAAACTCTTACAGTCGCATCAAAGAGTATTCACGTTGGTCTTCATCAGTGTGGTGCCACATTCAAACCAGACAATACTCTGTAAATATCAATGTGCTCGATCGAGGATGAGACCCTTTAACACGTTAGCCTCAACTGAGGGGCATCTGTTCATTTACAAAAAAAAGTGTTATATTCCTTGAATTAAGGTAGTTTATTCATTCAAAACTTTCATTTCCCAATCCAACAAAATGTTTTTTTTGTTCAAAGCGCAAAACTGTAACAAATTTTCACACTTAAAATGGACAATACCTCGTAGACATGGTGACCAACAAATTTGAGTGTTAGAACAACAATGATAAAAGTAATCCTTATATTACTTTGTCATACATCATTTAAGAAATTTAAATAATTTTAATGCTATCCTCCAATAGGAAAAAAAAAAAAGGACTCAACCTTCCGTCTATGAAACATGTTTAGATATTCTCATTAAAGATGTTCCAATAATATGTAAAGGTAAAATATATTTTTCTAATGATATATTTGTTAGAGCCCTTGAATAAGGCGACATATGTCTTTCATTGAGCGTTTGTCCCATGAGCGCCACCTAGGGTGTGTCCTTTACGTGGCACGGGGGTTCGCTTTAAAGGGTGACATGAATAATACCGTTTATTGAGTCCTTAACTACATTTGTGAAATTATGCCATCACTTTTTAAGAAATAGGCAGTTAACAGCTTCCCGCAATCAAAGGTGAGTGGCTGCTACTTCCTAAGGGTTCCCTGAACTATAGGACCATACGCCCTTATAAATACCTCAACCTTAAGGTTGAAGACGACAAATAATAACACACATGATACACCCCAAAAAAATCACAGAGTTTATCACTTCACTTGTGTTTTCTCTTTCATCATCGTAAGCACAATCGAATAAGACCTCTTACTGCTGCCGGAAAGCCCTAAACCACAAAAAAAATACAAACTTAAGCATTATGGTTAAAACTAACTTAGTAAAGTGGTACCCACCATGAGTGGTGCCTTACTAGCTAGGCATTCTGGTTACCCCTATTAGCTTAGAGATACCACACATTCTGTACTTATTAACAAGTATAATGGTGTCCATCGTGATATCCTAATAAAACTAACCTAGGTCACACTTTTTTGTTACCATCACCACTCTGAAACTTGTGAACACAAGCCCGTGATTGGAATAATGTTTTGATGAAGATAAATTGATTCAAAGAAGGAAAATATCTCAAGATCGAAGAAGCCTCAAGTCAAGGATTGAACATGCTCAAGTTATAAATATCAAAACCTTTCATCTAAACCCTTCTAAAATTTCCATCACATATATGCATGATTTTTATTCAAGACACACCTTTAAAAAGACAAAGATTCAATTTTCTTAAAGGTGCAACCGATTGATCACATAATGCAATCGATTGCTTATTTGCTACTGCTTGACAAAATTTGACATTTTTAAGTGTCAATTGATTGATCCAAGGGGAAAATCGATTGTAGGATCTTTTTTGCCTTGAAAATTTGAATTGAAAATTGGTTGATCAATACGTGCAATCGATTTCTCCTTTGTATTTTGTCAAAGTTTTTGAATGTTGAAAATATGACAATTGATTGATCCAAGAATGACATCTATTACTTCCGGAAACATTATGAAGAATCTATATCATTGTGATGCTTATTCGTTGCAATTGTTCATGAATATTCTCCATAATATTGCATAAAATCATAGAGGAATCATGATACATATTTAAACCAAATTTTATCAAATTTTTAATTTACCTATTTCCATTATAAATTTCAAACAATTCAATCTGTTTTCAAGTGTTCATATACAATCTACTTAGAAACTTTTACTGCATAAAATTCATTCATTTGTACTCAATATATATTTATCATTCTGTTGTCACTTGTTCACAAAGTTTGTGGTAACAAGCAAGTATAAGGGAAAATAATATTCTCTCTCTAAGTTGTGTAAGAAAAGAAAGTGATGTACTTTCTTTCTAGTGTTAGATGATTGTAGAAGAGTCTTGGAGTGAAGTTGTACAAATACCCAACATAGTGAAAATCCTTCACGGGGTGTGAAGGTACTAGACGCACCATTAAGTTGGAAATGGTAACCAGTATAATTTCTTATGCCTCTTTTACTTTTATGCACTTCTATTTTTCAGCATTTTTATTCTTAGTTCATCGTTATAATTCCAGAAAAATAAAATAAAAAGAACATTTGCAAAAAAACGAGAAAAATCCTTAAAACCTAATTCGTCCCCTTCTTAGGTTGCACTCTGTAATTACAATGCTCGCTAAAACCTCCATTCTTTGAGGTAAGAGTGATGCCAATGCTCTAGTGGAGATGTGTGCCACAATGGAAAAACTATGCTGCCACAATCAAAGTCTAGAGGACATCATCCTCAATATTTAACAACTCTAACAGGAGGCTAACCCCAAAGAGGAATT